GTTTGGTGGTGATGAACTACTTTAGCTTTTTCTTATCCGTGAAGCTCTTTATCTGACCTTCAATTCTGAATGATAGCTTTGCTGGATAAAGTAATCTTTGTTGTAGGTTCTTGCTATTCATCACTTTGAATATTTCTTGCCATTCTCTTCTGTCCTGCATGGTTTCTATTGAGAAATCAGCTGACAGTCGTATGGGTACTCCCTTGTAGGTAACTGACTGTTTTTCTCTTGCTGCTTTTAAGATTCCCTCTTTGTCTTTTGCTCTTGGCATTTTAATTATGATTTGTCTTGGTGTCGTCCTGTTTGGATTCCTTTTGTTTGGGGTTCTCTGCGCTTCCTGGACTTGTAAGTCTATTTCTTTCACCAGGTAGGGGAAGTTTTCTGTCATTATTTCTTCAAATAGGTTTTCAATATCTTGCCCTCTCTCTTCTTCTGGCACAGCGATAATTCTGATGTTGGTACGCTTGAAGTTGTCCCAGAGGAGTTGTCCTTACACTATCTTCAAATTTTTGGATTCTTTTTTCTTTTTGCTTTTCCGCTTGGGTATTTTTTTGTTTCTTTGTATTTCAAATCTTTGATTTGATTCTTGGGATCCTCTTGTCTGCTGTTGGATCTCTGTATATTATTCTTTATTTCAGTCAGTGTATGCTTAATTCCTAGTTGGTATTTTTTCATATCCTCCAGGGTCTCAATAAATTTATTCGCAGTTTCCAGAAAATTCTTGAAAAACCTTATAAACGTGGTTTTGAACTCTGTATCCAGTCTTTTGCTTTCCTCCATTTCTGTCATTTCTGACCTGTTTCTTTGTCTCCACATTTTTTATGCTTCCCTGTGTTGGTAGAGTGGCTTTGTGTGCTAGGTGTCCTGTAGGGCCCAGTGGCTCAGCCTCCCCAGTTACTTGAGGTGGACACTCTTGGTGCACCCCCTTGTGGGCTTTGTGCACAGTCTTGTTGTAGTTATGCCTTGATTGTTGTAGGTATCACTGGGAGGAATTGACCTCCAGGCCAACTGGCTATGAGAGTCAGCTGTGTCTGCAGTGGGAGAACTTCTGTGCTGAAGACACCCTTCTGGGGCAAGACTTGCTTCAGTGGGACTTTGGTGCTCACTGAGTCTGCCCCCTGAGTGTGTCCCTTATGGTTCTGAGGAGTTGTAATCTGGATGGTCCCACTCTGACCACTGAGTATACTGGCTCTTGGAACTCTATAGAAGTGCTAATTTAGCCTTTGTCTGAGGCTACTCAGCAGGAGCTACGAAGAGATCTGCAGATTCCCCTTCCTTTTTGGGGGTTTGGAGGTGCCCAGATGAGGCCCAGCTGTGAAGCAATGCAAGCTGCTGTGGGGCCTTGGGCCTTCTCTTGGAAGTTCTGGGTCTGTCTGGCCCAGCTTCAATTTGTTAGGTAATTTTCAGTTTGCAAAAGGCCAGGGCATTCATATGCAAAAGCCTTTGCCCCAGCCTGGATTGGGCGGGGTCTCAGGGAATCAACCGGGCAGAGCCAGCAGCTATGGCTGATCCTCAGCCCTGCCCTAAGGGGCCCCTTGTCTCAGTGTCCTGGTAATTGCTGCAAGCACCTCTAAGGGAAAGCCGCCCTCAAGTTCCGAGTTCTGCCTGCTGCCAGACAGTCCAGTTTCTCACCACATGAGTCCTGGGTCCCCAGAGACTTCCCAGAACCGGAGTACAGAGCAGTTGGGAGCTAGTGTCTCCCTCCCGATACAGAAAGATAGCCGCATCTTCAGTTGCCAGCCCCTTTCCGCACTTGGGCACTCAAGCCTCCGTACCTCTGCACTTTACATCCGCAGCTCCTCTGAGTCTCGGTGTGCTTTTCTCTTTCCTTCTCGTTGTAGAATTTCCACTCAGCCAGCCTTCCTGTAGTTCTGGATGATGTCCATTTTGTCTTTTTGTTGTATTTTTGAAGTTGTTGTGGGAGGCAGCAATTTCTGGTGTTTACCTATGGTGCCATCTTGGTTTCTCCTGACATATTATTCTTTATATGCTGAAATTATATATTGAACCTAAATATATACAAATTTTATGTTGTTCTCTATGCCATATTACAGTAATTATTGTTTACCAAGTAATTGTTGTCTTGGAATGTTATATCTTACAGAAAAGCACAGTATTTTTTATCAAAGATTTTTTGCATTATAATCAAATCTATAACCATGCCACTTTTAAATTTTGTCATTCATAGACAGGTGTTGCTTTACTCTGATGCATTTGCAGGTATATTATGTCTTTAGAAGGACTAAAAAGGACTCTGACCTACTCTAACTTGTAGACTTCTAAGCAGGTCATGTCTTTGAACTGGATGACAATTTATAGAACTTCAAGAAATAACTGAATTCGATAAAGCTACTGGCAAATAATTAGAATAAACAAAAATAATTATGGGATTAAATAAATTAAAAATAATTATTCTCATGACTGTTTAAAATATTGTTAATTTTTCAATATTTTGTTTCCCAAATATATGGAAAATTAAAAAGCAGACATTCTGCATTGTAGGAACTAACAAATTAATAACATTCATTTCACAGTACTCCCAGGATAAAAAGATTCAAAGACTATAGCAACCTGGAGATTTTTTCCGTTGGGAAATACATTAATGAAAGACTCTCTCCAACAGTGTTAAAGGGACCTTACCTTCTCAGCTACTTAACCACGAATGGACATTAGCTCCTGTCTCTGACATTCGCCTTCATCTCAAAAATGAGAAGTTGCTAACTATGGAGGAGGTAGACAGCCATCCCAAGACATCAACAAGGCCCGTATGCTCACAAATTGATGCTGCTCAAACCTTGTTCTTATATCGCCTAACTGTTATTGATTAAATGTATATAATATTATTTTTATATTGCTATTATCCTCCTTATGATTTCCTAGTGGAAACAATATCTGTCTCCCTAGATCCCTTCCCCTAATGGACATGAAAAAATTTAACTTGGGTACCTGCTAATCTTTCCCACCTACTAGATAGTGATATTCTGATTATCAGCTATGATAATGAAGTTAATATTTTGTTGGCCACGCACTGGTGGTCTTCCACTATCAATATAAGCTTTGGTACATCTATTATAAAGAACCTATCTTGAACTAACCTCTCCAAGACCACCTCCCTAATAATTCCCCTGGTAGAATTATATATGGATCTAATCTAGATGAATATTTTTAATGGATATTGTCTAAATATAGGAATAAGCTAAATTAACTGGCCAAAAGAAAAATTGGAACTTCTGGATATTAATAGCCCCTTCAGATTCTTCCTTCTCTAATATTAGACATTTTCTGTTCCTAATCAGTGTTACTGGTTTATTATTGTTACTCTTGTTCCTGGTATATTGTTATACTAGATGCAGAAAAACAAAACTTGACAAACAGCAAAAAGGCTTGGATCATGCTGACTCAAAGAAATTAGAAATAATCCAGAATACTTTTTAACAAGGACATATAGGATCTGACTGCCTCCCATTCACCTGTTTTTTGTTTTTTTTTTTAAATAATAATTCGACCTTAAATGCCATCTAAGGTTATGATCTCGCCCCATCCCTAGTGGTCCACCCTGTTCAGCAAGACATGCTGACACTGACACATCCTGCGAATAAGCCTTCCTAGCACCGTGGGACTCCATTTTCCAACCAAAAGGTTGGTCATCAATGTATCCTTTGGATTGATTTATGACCAGAAGGGGGATGTGTGGACGAAAGGGGCCACATGCTAACCTGACAAACTCAGGGAAGTCCTGCAAACTCAGAGACCTAAAGTAACCACAAAAAAATGGTCTGAAATTAAACTTTAACTAAAAGCAGTTAGGGTGGATAGTTACCTCCTAGGCCTGTATCTTCACTGACAAGGTCAACCTTTACATTACCTGAGCCTATCTATCTTTTTGTGTCTATGATAACATATCCTTGAAATGTCTGGGTAACTTGTAACTTCCTTTTTTTCGGACCCCTTGGGGTCCTTCACTGTTATTGTTATCATCTTAATTGTTGACTATCCTGCATCCACCTAAGTATGTGTCTATCATTTTACTTTTTATCCAATCCCAAGGGTTCCCCTCCCCCAACCCCCTGCACCTGCTTTTGCTTTCTCCCTCCTCTCTAATCTGTCACCAATGGATTTCATGTAACCCATCTATGTCCCCTCCTTTGATTGCAATGTATAAAAATAGATGAAAGCCTACCATTCTCAGGAGCACTAACCCAATTCATTGAGATTCTGCTTTCCAGCAACTGTTGACAGTTTGGCTGAAATAAACTCACAAAAATTCTTTACAGGTTTCAATGTTTTTACATTAACAAAGCTTTCAGGAGAAATGAGAGAGATCTTAGGGGTAGACCAAGCCAAGCTCCAAAACCGTCTTGTAGTTTTACCAAAAAGTGAAATTCATCTCTGTATTCTTATAAGAAATATTAGTGGTATTTCCCAAAATAAAATAAATTACATTTTTGCACAAATATGAGAAAATAGAAAAGTTTTATTGTAGTAACAATAAGCAAACAATTGAAGTGGGAAGGGGAAGCAGTGTGGGGATGACCCACCTAGCAGTAAGTAATCAAGGCGTGGGGTGATGGAGGTGCAGTGGCAACAGTTAATTTCACAAGAGAAGAAGAGAACTAGTTATTCAGAAAAGTGGTTACCTTGAGGTTGCTCAAAGACTTTCTACAGAAACATCTGAACACACTTAACATTGTTCTCTTAGCTGTTGAATCTGTCTTTTACTCTTTCTGGCATTTCACTTAGTCGAGTTCTGAAAAATCTGTTTTTCAGACAACTCCTTTTTCTTGAGTGGACAGATGATAAGGACCTATTTCAGTCCTTTGAAAGAATGTAATTCAACAAATTTATGTTCATTTAGAAAGAATTCTTTTTTTTAAAATATATTTTTTTTATTGATTTTTTACAGAGAGGAAGGGAGAGAGATAGAGAGTTAGAAACATCGATGAGAGAGAAACATCAATCAGCTGCCTCCTGCACATCCCCCACTGGGGAAGTGCCTGCACCCAGGCACATGCCCTTGATCGGAATCAAACCTGGGACCTTTCAGTCCGCAGGCCAACGCTCTATCCGCTGAGCCAAACCGGCTTTGGCACATTTAGAAAGAATTCTATAAGCATTCTAGCTATCCATTACCTAATACAAATAATTGATTTCTTTAACCATATGGGTAAAAAGGTCATTGTCATCCCAAAGGCAAAAATGTGGATTAGAAGCCACAGGGAGAGATTATGTTCCAATCTAGAAAGACGCTAGAGAATCATTGTCTTTTGGTCTCCTGCATTCCCTCTCTTTGTCTGTAAGAAATAGTTTAGAAGATAGGGAGCATCCATACTTTCTATTTTGGAATTTCACAAATTGAGAATGTGTCTCATCCCTGTTAAATAAATGAAACAGATATCTACCAATTGCCAATAAGAAACTTTACTAAACACCTAGTCCTGAGAACTTGAAGAACAAAAACAGAGAACTCTGACTTTGGGGAATGAGTTCTATGGGAAGGAACACTTGAAAATCGCAGGAAACAGATTTTTAAAAATCTTAAATGCACTTGAATAGTCTAAGGAAAAAAGGTAAAGTGATCAAACCTTTGATTATGTTAAGTGTAAAAGTACCTTGCTGACTCTCAACTTCATCTCTGGCTCCCTGCAGCCTTTTTAGATGGCAAATCTCCCTTTCTGCCGATTCCCTGTCCAGTTCTGCCTTTCTCTTTTCTTGCTCCACTTTATCCTTCAGGTTTCTGATTTGTTTTTGATATTTCTCTCTTATTTGCCTTTTCTCTCTCTCCAGGTCAGCTTTGTATTTTTCTTGTTTCACTTTAATCTGTTTCTGAATCTCCTCCTCAACCTTTTGGTACATCTCATCAGTGTAGCATCTTCCCTTGTTCTGCGTCACCATGCGCTGGACCAGGTCCAACAGCTGTGCCCTCTGAGCCTCCTGCTCAGCCCCTGTCGCCTTATTGTTGAACTCACAGTGACGACCCCTGAACTGCTCCATCAGATCTTGAATGACTTTTGGGGCTTCCTTTAAGTAATCATGGAACTCCATGCCATCCAGGTTCATCTTTCCGGGTGAATAAGAGAATCATGTATCTCCTAGCTTGGGATCCAAACATTGACAGCATCTTCTCCACAGCCTTTTGTTCTTCCTTTGTGTACCGGCCCAGAGGGACCACCAGGAGCACAGCGTGAGGGCCAGGGGAGGTCAGGAGGATGCAATTGGCAATCTCCTTTTGTGTGTCAGCATTCCCTGCCTCAATGTCAAAAATGCCAGGTGTGTCCATGACGACAATTTCTTTCCCATTCCACATGCTACTCCCTTTCTGACAGACCTTGGTGATGGATTGTGCTGCCATTCTGGAACAAAATGCTGTCTTTCCAAGGATGCTGTTCCCTGTGGCACTTTTTCCTGCTCCAGTCTTACCCACTAAGACAAGTCGCAGTTGTGAATCTCTGGGGTCTTGGTTTCTAAGCCCTGGGACATGAGGAAACAAAAAACACAGCATTAGGATTGACCTCCAAACTTTCCTGATGCAAAGGCCCTGCCCACTGGTTTTTCTCTATTGCCCACTAGTGTCCTGTCAGTGAGCCACCTCTGCACTCACAGGAAGTCTGTGGAACACCTGGGCCTCACCTCCCTCCTAAAGGAGGTGGGGAATGCCGGGAACTTCTCAGGGGTCCCTTGGGTTGCTCTCTTTGACCTGTGGAAACTAGATGCCTATGGAAGAAGGTGCAAAATGGTACAAGTAAGAACTCTGAGCCACGGCTGGTAGCTGTTCTTCATAAGCTAATGTAGGAAGTAACACAAAATATGACTCTGGGACATCACAGTGGAAGATCCCCTTCCCTCAAATGATATCCAAAATGGAACTTTTATTCTTTCCATTAAGAAGTCACATAGGTGTTTGATTCAAGCCATCCCACCATGAAAGGGAGTAAAGGGCACATGTGCAGAAAGACAAAGTGTTCCTTCATATTTCACATATGCATCCATCTTCTCAGGGATTCTGAACCACAGGAGAGCAAAATGCCATACTTTTAATTTATGACCAAAATGTAGAAATCTTCTGAAGTTTTCCTATCTTAAATTAGTACATAGAAGACTTCTATCCAGAAAGTATTGAGAGTTCTCTGGAGTTACTCTAAAATCCCTTGATACATAAATAATAGTAATAACAACTCATACAGAGTAGCATCAGTTGAGTTATACTTTTTTAGTTTCACTTGGTTAGACATGTCTACTTCTTAGGACACCTGGACGTTAATTAAAGAACAGCATAGCCTACCACCTGAATGATGTTTTAAATACCACTGTGTCTCAAGTTAAACACCAAATCATCTATATAGGTCTTTTTCCTCTTTCTAGTCAGTAATTCTCTGTTTATCTCTTCCATGTGTTTATAAACTTGAAATCTTCAGAATTTGTTCAGCACAGACAGGGACCATAGAAGTCAACTGACGAGCACATCTGAGAGCCCGTTTCTACCTGAAGGAAGACTCTGTCAGCACAGCCCTTTAATAAAACTGAACTCTTGCATGAGGAAACCTGGATTACAATGACCTGTCTCTGCTTTGAGTCGATGCATACATCACCAAACTGACAGTATTGTTGACATGATTGTAAACTCCATTTTATTTTTTAGAGATATCATCACTATTCATCCAGTTCCTCAGACAAAACTGGGAATCTCCTTGGATTCCTCTATTTCCCTTGCCTTCCAGATATGACCCATTGGCTAGTTCCCAAATCTGACTGCTTCTCTCCAATTGAAGACCATCATACTAGCCCAAGCTACGATCACTATCAATGACTCAGCTAGTCCCCTAAGTGGTCTCTTTAATTCTGTTGTGCCCTCTTTTTCTATTCTGTACATTGGAATGATTTTTCAAAAATTTCAATCAAACAGCAGAGATTTTGCAGACCCCCCCCCCCACTCTATCTTCCAAAAAATCAGTTGTTATTCTCCCTCTCACACACACTTTATGGTGAAGCTGTTGCTAATCCAAGGATTAGCAAAACCATTCCTAAGGCAGAGTATCCCACATTTGATAACCAGAATTCTTAGATGAGAGAAGTAAATTTCCTGAAGCTGAGAGCAGTTGCTACAGGATGGCTATGATGAAGAGAAAATGTGAGTGGCAGTTCAGATTATTACTTAGTTAGCACCACAGCGGAAGACTCCAACCTAAGGATATCCTGAGGGCATTAGTTGGTCATCCAGAGAGAAGTAGGACAATCATGGGAGGTGAAATGAAAAGTCACCAAAGGCCAGCTCCAACACTGCAACTATTTGCCAATGCTGATAGCATATGGCAGTCTGTTGATAGACTGCAGATATGGCCATGAATTAATCCCAGGTCTGTACACATGCCTCTTTAGCATGTGGATTTGCAGCTCCTCCCACAAGGTGCTGAGTCTGTTTCTCCACACCTTGCATCTGGGTGGGCCCTGTGACTTGGTCTGGGCAATAGGGCAGTAGAAGCATGGTGCAAGTACATCCCAAAAGTGCTGATACCCTGGAGCTTGATGTCTCTTGCTCTTCAGAACCCTGCAACTGATTGATGATGAAGGACACAAGGCCCGGTTATCCCTATTACCCTGGCCTTCCCAAGAGCCTGCTAACTACTAGACATGGCCATGGGACTATCCATTCGAAAGTATCCAGTTGCTGGATCTTGAGAGTATTACCGGTATGCTAAGCGAAATAAGTCAGATGAACAAAGGAAAACAACTATATGATTTCACTTACACATGGGATATAAAATAGAAAGCAACAAGGGAACAAACAATACAAATAAACAAGCTCATAGTCGCAGGCAGCAATATGACAGTTACCAGAGGGAGTGAGGGGTGGGAAGAGGTTGAAGCAGGTAAAGCGGGTGAAATATATGGTGATGGAAGGAGTCAATGCAATACACAGATGATATATTATAGAATTGTACACCTGAAACTTCTATAATGTTATTAATCAATGTCACCCCACTTAATTTAATCTGAAAAAAAGATTATCCAGCTGTGTACTGAACCACCGGCTTAGCACCGGTGCATGAGCAAGTCTGGCTGAGATGAGCCCAGTTGCCCAGACCCAAAAAATTCCCAGCTATCTACCAAATTGATTGCCAAAGTAATGGTTGAGGTTTTAGGGTACTAAGTTGTGTTGTGGTGTGGTACCAAACCAGCAAAAAAATCAACTGATACAGTTGATTTCTATAGATAAGGAAGTAAAAGGAGGGTTGCATGAGAAAGTGAGTGAGCCAGTCTGTTGAATTTGTTGGTTTCTACCTCCAAATGGATTCTACCTCCAAAACATGCCTCCAGGAGCAGGGAAATTAGGACCTGAATGAATCAATTCCTCTCACATTCCTCCTTCCCAGTCTTCTCTCAGGCGGAAGAGATTGGCAGAGAAACTAGAGAGGCTACAACTGGCCCTTCTGGTGTGTCCATGTTGTTGGAGTAGGAAATAAGAAACCTCACTAGCCTGGGATCAATCAGGATACTTTAATCTCTCTTCCTCTTAGAGGTTATGGGGTGTCATGAAGAGACAGTGCAGAAATTCCAGAGAAAAAGCTGAGTTAACTAAGAGAAAAGAAGAAATGGGGTTGAAATATTTTGCTCTTGCTCAGATGAAGACTGGCAGAGAGGACAGGAGAACCCACTGCCAGGTTCCCTCCGTCCCATCTGGTCTGGGAAACCCAAGCACCGTCTCACCATGGCCGGTCCTGGGTTCACTGAAGTTGGAAGGAGTACTGTCCAATTGAGCTGCCATCACAGTTTGAATTTCTGTAGATAAGAAACAGAACTCATTTTAGGGAAATGGAGAGTAACTGCCAACCAAAACCGCATGCAGCCAACGGTTTTTTCTATTTTCCATAAACTTGTTACTTGATTTCACCTTCCCTGTTTCCCAACACTTCTCCTCCCCCCCTCCCCCCCCCCCCCCATTGTCAGTTCCTTTTCACTTGTTGCTTCTTCTCTACACAAACATATTTCAAGTGCTTCCTCAGCTCTGGTTCTGGGCGCCTTTCCTAACGAACATGGCGATCAAGTGCGTCCGTTTGCCGAATGCACCCGAACACACGGAAGCTTACCCAGGCACATGTGGACAATAAGGAGGCCGTTTCCAGAATTGGGCATTTTGTCACTCGAGTAAAAATAAAATGTCATGAGTAAAGATTAATCTCTTTATAGTGCAATTCATAACCTTTTTATATAAATGTCAATATTGGAACAATGTATCTTGGATGTTTTCACTATGTATCTTTGCTACGCAACACCGATGTACAGGTTTACATCCAGTTTTAGAATTGCATTATTGATCATGAGTAACGTGAGAAATAATATTACTCGAGTGATGCCCAACTCTGTCCATTGCAAGAGACAAATATTTGAAATATGCAATTTTTTGTCTCTGTCGATGCGTGTCACCCAAAATGAGTTCACGTGTCACCTCTGACATAGGTTTGCCATCACTGGCTTGGAGTCATAAAAACATTCTATTATGTTTTAAATACCTTATCTCTTTGCAACTTAAAAACAAGTGCCAATGGGGAAAATGTTAAAGGGAATGATTTAAGAAGAACAAGAAATTGAGAGAAAAGAACATAGGCATAAAGAAAAATTGCAGGAAATAAGTACTTATCAATAATGACCTTATATGTAAATAGAATACATACTCCAACAGAAGACACAGACATCTGCATGGATAAGAAAACATGAGCCATATATATGTCTGTCTACAAGATACCCACCTCAGAACAAATGATTCACACAGACAGAAAGTGAAGGGATAGGAAAATTTTTTCTATGCAAATGGAAACAGAAAAGGCAAGGGTAGCAATATTTATATCTGACCAAATAGATTTTGAAGAAAAGGATACAAGAGACAAAGAAGGCCACCACATAACACTAATGGAATCAGTTCAACAAGAGAATATAATCCTGGTAAATAAATATGCACCCAAAGAAGGAGCATCTAAGTATATTTTTTAAATCTTCTAGAGGATGTTAAGAGAGATTGACAGCAATACAGTCACAGTAGGGGATTTTAACACCCCACTGGCATCTTTGGATAGATCTTTCAGACAATCAACAAGGTAAAAGTGAGCCTAAAGGAAACACTAAATCAGATTAATTTAATTTACATTTATAAAATATTTCATCTCAAAGTTAAAATCTTCTCAGATAACAATAGCATGAAATTAGAATCAATTACAATAAAAACATTCAAAAACATTCAAACTCATGGAGTCTAAGCAATGAATGCATTACCAAATTAATAAATCAAAAAAGAAAGAAAAAACTTCCTGGAAACTATAACAAAAATGAACAAACAGCAACCCCAGATCTTTGGGGCATTGCAAAAGCAGTCCTGAGTGGAAAGTTCATAGCATTCCAGTCCTACCTCAAAAAATAAGAAAAAGTTCTAACAAAATATTAACACTACAACTAAAATAATTAGAATAAGAACATCAAGAAAATCCCAGAGTAAGTAGGATGGAATTAATAAAGATCAGAGCAGAAATAAATGTTACAGAAACTAACAAAAACCCACAAAAACATACAAAAAAAAAAACTAAAAAAAGGGTACAAAACATCAGTTAAACCAAGAGCTGGCTCTTGAAAAAGTAAACAAGATTGATGAATCTTTTGACAGACTAGTCGAAACAAAGAGAGAGGACCCGAATAAGACAAGTGAGAAATGAAAGAGGTGAAGTAACAACCTACACCACAGAAATACAGATGTGAACAACTATTGAGGAGGCTAAAAGGCTATGTAACCTTGATATTTGGGGGGGTCTAGCAATCTAAATCCAGGCCAGCAAGCTCAGTGTACATTCTTGATAACCTATAACTAAGTCACTACCTCTGTCCTAGAAACTGGTCTTGCAGAACTTGTTATCTAAATACAGAGGCCATAAAACTGTGAACAGTGCACTGCCATGGAGGTAGGGTTATTATCTCTGGTGCCAGGCCAGACCATCAGATATGGCCTGGAGACCCCCAACAGCTGGGGGCCTACTTGCCAAACCCACTAAAGGGACAGGAAACATAATCCATAGCTGTAGGACAAAGACCCCAGAAGGATATAAAAAGAGAAGCCCCTGCATGTTTCTTTACTCAGATTTGGAAGTTATTTCCTGAGTCCGCTAGTGTTAATAAACAGTGTCCCTCCTTTTCTCTAAAAGTTGTTTGGTTTTTCTTTGGTCTTCTGCAATACTATATGCCAATAAGCTGAACAACCTGGATAAACTGGAAAAATTCCTAGAAAAATACAATCTTCCAAAACTGAATCAGGAAGGTTCAGAAAACATGAATAGGCCAATAACAACTGATGAAATTGAAGAAGTAATTTTAAAAACTCCCAACTAACAAAAGCTCTGCTCCAGATGGCTTCACATGGGAGTTTCACCAAACATTCAAAGAAGAGCTAATACCCATCCTCCTCAAATAATTTTAAAAAATCCAAGAGGAAGAAATACTTCTAAGTGCTTTGTATGAGGCCAGGATTACTCTCATTCCCAAACCAGATAAAGACACTACAAAGAAATAGAATTATAGCCCAATATCCCTGATGAACATAGATGCTAGAATCCTCAACAAAATATTAGCAAATCAGATCCAGCAATATATTTAAAAGATCATACACCATGACCAAGTGGGATTATTCAAGAGATGCAAGGCTGGTTTAATATTTGCAAATCAATAAATGCAATATATCACATAAACCAGTGGTTGGCAAACTGCAGCTTGCGAGCCACATGCGGTTCTTTGGCCCCTTGAGTGTGGCTCTTCCTAAGCCTTAGGAGTACCCTAATTAAGTTAACAACAATGTACCTACCTATATAGTTTAAGTTTAAAAAATTTGGCTCTCTTTAAACGTACGACAGGAAACCATAAAAATTCTAGAAGAATCCAAAGGCAACAAAATCTCAGACATATGCCGAAGCAATTTCTTCACTGATACAGCTCCTAGGGCACTTGAAACTAAAGGGAAAATGAACAAATGGGACTACATCAAAATAAAAAGCTTCTGCACAGCAAAAGAAACCATCAACAAAACAACGAGAAAACCCACTGTGTGGGAAAACATATTTGCCAATGTCATATCTGATAAGGGCCTAATCTCCAAAATTTATAGGGAACTCATACAACTTAACAAAAGGAAGATAAACAATCCAATAAAAAAATGGGCAAAGGACCTAAATAGACACCTTTCAAAAGAGGACATTCAGAAAGCCAAGAGACATATGAAAACATGCTCAAAGTCACTAATCATCCGAGAGATGCAAATCAAAACAACAATGAGGTACCATCTCACACCTGTCAGACTGGCTATCATCAACAAATCAACAAACGACAAGTGCTGGAGAGGATGTGGAGAAAAAGGAACACTTGTGCACTGCTGGTGGGAATGCAGACTGGTGCAGCCACTATGGTAGACAGTATGGAGTTTCCTTAAAAAACTGAAAATGGAACTCCCATTTGACCCTGTGATCCCACTTCTAGGAATATATCCCAAGAAACCAGAAACACCAATCAGAAAGGATATATGCACCCCCATGTTCATAGCAGCACAATTCACCATAGCTAAGATCTGGAAACAGCCTAAGTGCCCATCAGTAGATGAATGGATTAGAAAACTGTGGTACATCTACACGATGGAATACTATGCTGCTCTAAAAAGGAAGGAACTCTTACCATTAGCAATGTCATGGATGGAACTGGAGAGCATTATGCTAAGTGAAATAAGCCAGTCAATGAAGGAAAAATACCACATGATCTCACTCATTCATGGATAATAGAGACCATTATAAACTTTTGAACAATAATAGATACAGAGGCAGAGCTGCCTCAAACAGATTGTCAAACTGCAGCAGGAAGGCCGGGGAGGGTTGGGGGGCAGGAGGTAGGGGGGTAAGAGAATAACTAAAGGACTTGTATGCATGCATATAAGCATAACCAGTGGACATAAGACATTGGGGGATAGGGGAGGCTAGGGGACTGTCTAGGGCTGGGGGATAAAATGGACACATATGTAATACCCTTTGTAATACTTTAAGCAATAAAAAAAAAAGAAAAAGAAACATCGATGAGAGAGAAGCATCCATCAGCTGCCTCCTGCACACCTCCTACTGGGGGATGTGCCTGCAACCAAGGTACATGCCCTTGACCGGAATCGAACCGGACTCTTCAGTCCCCAGGCCGACGCTCTATCCAGTGAGCCAAACCGGCTAGGGCAGGATTTCTTGAAATACTTTCATTTAGACAAAAAAGCACAGCTTTGCTAGGGTTTCTTCTACTTCCCAGGTTGGTTTATTCCCCCTTGCTTATCCGCACTACATTATAGCATTCACCTCTTTACTGCATTTACTCTGTTGTTTTTGACTATTGCCTGCTATAGTGTGAGCTTCTCATTTCAATCACTTTCTATTCCTAGAATCTAAGATATTACTGACCATATAATATGTGCCTAATAAACATGTGGGTCCTTCTCTTTTTTATACTAGAGTATATAGCAAATCCTTTTAAATGCTCATATCTAATGACTAAGGGATTATTAATACTATGTACTATAATACAGATTTCAGACCATCAACAGTTATTGGTTTGATAATTCACAGACTTTTCATTATGGTAAGTAGAACACCCACTAAAACTTAAAACAATTAAAAATTTACCATCTACCTCCATATAAGAAGTGAATAGCGCCATTTCAATTCTCCAAGGGAAAGCCAAGACAAATATAAAGCATTTGTTAATAAAAGATGATACAGAATAGTCAAATAGTTTTCCCTATATTACAAGGGAAACAAGAGGTCATGATTAAAATATCTACTTTGTTCTACTAGTGTTCTGTTAGCTATGTAAGTCCTATTCAGTCACTGATTCACCTAATTCCCGCAGCAATAC